CCCCCCCCCATATACAGTTTACTTAAAGGAGAACTATGAATTACACTCATCCCTATAGATAGAGCCAACGTGTGACAATGAAACTGTCTAACGTCGGCTCTATTGATCGAGAAATGAGCTAACATATACTGCCGAGCCGCTCACTTCCGATCATCTCCCTGCAGAGTGGTGACTGACCCTGCAGGGATTCCCCCCCCACTCCTCGGTTTCTCCAGCGCTGACTGGGACAAGTGAACTCATTACTTTAAGTATTTCTATATTTATTTTTGCCATAGGATATTTCATAAGAGATTTGCGCGATTTTCCTCTCACCTGTTTTGTCTTTTTGAGGGTTCTTTGGCACTTTAAAAAGAGTCCAGTCAGTATAGGTGCCCATTGTGTGATCCAATTTGAATTTAAGGTTCAAACAGTAAGTGGGCACTACCCAATCACTCATACTAGAATTATTTGTTCAGTGTAAGAAAATACAGCACACACATATGGAGGTTTAAAGTGTATGTACAGCCAAAATTGAGTAGGGAAGTACCACTTAGTGTGATCGATGTGGCCTGGAACAATTCTCATTCAATGGGGATTGAGCAGACACCACTGGCCAAAAGCAGTTGAGGAAATGGTAATCAGGTTAGGTACCAGCAATGGCGACTCCTGACTACTTGCTTCGCTATATTGGTTGACCTTTCCTACCTAAAGGTACATTCCATGAACATACTCAGAAGTTTACCTAAGCTTTGTCTATTCAGAGTGGCAGGGGAGGGAAAAGGTTACAAGTATGTCCGTCTGTAAAGGTGTACACTAAAGCAACCCTGTAAGAATGCCCAGACAGAATGCCCTGCTGAACAAAATGATAAAAACATATCTTTCCTGCTGCCAAATACCACTGTGTTCAAGAGGAATCATCCACTAAGGTCTGCAGAAACGGACATTGCAGGATTGATGATCTCTTGGCCCACCCTCGCAACACTCACTGATGGTTCCTGCAGAGACCAGGAGATTGACGCTCCCAGAAGTGTTGGTTTCTGCAAAAGACTTCAGTGATTGATTCCTTTTGAACTAAGTGGTGTACTAACCATGTTCTTTTGCAGGATATTCTTTTGTGGACACTTTAATATTCCCGACTGTTACTAAAGTGAACCTGTTTCTTTGTCCTGCATGGGCGAAAGCACAGATTCACTGGGATGGTGAATACTTCATCTATATGCACTGTATCTGTTATTCTATTCAAGTGCTTTATCATTCCTGTTGCATCTCCCCCCTACCCCACAGTTAATGGAACTCATCTCCAAACCAACTATACAGACTATTTGACCAATAGATATTTTTCAAGCCAGCACTCCAGTTTGCAGGCTAGGGTTATAGTGGATTTGGGGTAAAACGTTTTATCTAATGGGTAACTTTGTTTTCTAGCACTCAGGTGTCATCTATTTATGACCTACAAAATGCATGCACTTGTTAAAATTATTTGTTCTAAATCGTTAATGCTCACACCAACCTGCTGCATTGGGGGAATCACAAAGGTTTACCCGTTTTGCATTGGCCGGCTTTTTCCTATTCAAGTCATTTGAATAGGGTCCTTCCCATGCATGCAAAATGTGCATGCAAACATATGTATTTAGCGTGCACCTTACCTTCTAGTGCAATTCTAAAGGGGTTCCATTTATGTAGTGAACATAGCAATATTTTATGCATAGGGGTCTGTTTAGAAGTTTTTCAGACTAGCTTTATACAATTTACCCAAGATTCACACTTTTCCAATTGATTCCAATAAGAGACTAGATGAAGTTGTGTAAAATCATTTCAACATTGACC